TTTGGGGTGTATAGGCAGCTAAGGTATGGGTGAGAGAGAGAGAAAAAACCAAAATAAAACAAAATAAAATAAAATAAAATAAAGTAAAATTATTATATTTAATTATATAAATATAATTAAATAACGAAGCACACAAAAATACACAAATATATAGCCCATTCATTTATACACTCTCTCACTGCTAGCCACACACATCTGTACATACACCCCGTTGTAGCTAGCTAGCTAGCTAGCTAGCCAGCTAGCTAGCTAGCTGCAGTGTAGCTAGCTAGCTAGCTAGCTACAGTGCGGCTAACTAGCTAGCTAGCTAGCTAGCTAGCTAGCTGCAGTGTACATGCACCTCCTAGCTAGCTGCAGTGTACATACACCTCACGATGACAGCAGCAGACTTTGGGGGGAGATATGAAGACACAGAGACAGCTGCTGCTTCTCAATATATAAATATATAAATTTATATAAATATATAAATATATATAAATATATATAAATATATATAAATATATATAAATATATATAAATATATATAAATATATAAATATATAAAGAACAACAACCCCACCAACGCATGCATGCAGCCAACCACCATACCATATACACCTCAAACACAACTCTCTCTCTCTCCTCTTTTTTTCTTTTTTTTTTTCTTTTTTTTTTTAATGCTATATATGCATGCGCATGCATCCATCACCCGCCAACATGCATGCATGCATGCATGCATGACAGACAGACCCTCATGCATGCATGCATGCATGCATGCATGAGGGTCAGTCTGTCTCTATCAACAAGAAATATAAATTTACATATGTATTAACAATTTACAAATTAATTAATTTATTTATTTATCCATTTACATCTATCTACATCTATCTATATATATATCTCCCCCCCCATACACACATACATACACACATACACACATGCATGCATGCATGCATGCATGCATGCATGCATGCATGCATGCATGCGTGAACTCACCTATTATAAGACCGATCTCTTCTATCTGTGCTTCTGGATCGACTTCTTGCTGCTGCTGCACCTCTATAGTAATCAGCTGACCTGCTGCGGGACCTATAGTACCCTCCCCCTCCCCCCCCCCTCTTTCTCTTTCTCTTTCTCTTTCTCTCTCTCTTTCTCTTTCTCTTTCTCTTTCTCTGTTTCTGCTCGGTGATCTGCTGCGGTAGCCGCTGTAGCCTCCTCCTCCCCCACCCCCTCTCCCTGCCCCTCTATACCCACCACCACCACCACCACCACCATAACCACCATAACCACCCCCATAACCACCACCATAACCACCATAACCACCACCATAACCACCATAACCACCACCATAACCACCATAACCACCACCACCACCACCACGATCATCGTAACGACCATAACCACCATACTCTCGACGAGGAGATATAGAACGGTATCTACCGCCACCACCACCATGATAAAGGGGCCTATATATATACACACAAATAAATATATAAATATATATATATAAATATATATATGTTTATGTTTATGTTTATTTATTTATTTATTTTTTTTTTTTTGTATTTTTTTGTGGGTGTGGCAGGTTATTACTATGGGAAACTAAAAAAGGAGACAAACAGAGACAAACAGAGACAGATAGAGACAGATAGAAAGAGAGATAAAGAGAGAGACAGAAAGAGACAAAAGGATAGATAGAAGGATAGACAGAAGGATAGATAAAGGGAGAGACAGAAGGAGACAGACAGAGAGACAGAAAGAGACAGAAAGAGACAGAGATGAGCAGAGACAGAAAGAGAAACAGAAAGAGAGACAGAAAGAGACAGACACAAGGAGAGATAAAAGAAGAGACAGAAAGAGACAGAAAGAGAGACAGAAAGAAAGAGAGAGACAGAAAGAGAGACAGAAAGAAAGAGAGAGACAGAAAGAGAGACAGAAAGAGACAAAAAAAGAGTCAGGATGAGAGAAAGAAAGAGACAGAAGGAGACAAAAAGAGACAAAAAGAAACAAAAAGAGACGAAAGAAGAAACAGAAAGAGAGACAGAAAGAAGATATAAACCAAAAGGAGACAATTCTATTATGCAATACAACCATAAAAACCCAAAAAAAAAAAAAAAAAAAAAAAAAAAAAAAAAAAAAAAAAAAAAAAAAAAAAAAAAAAAAA